GTGGCGCGGCAGTCAGGAAATCTGGCTGGTGCCCTTTTTTTTTGTTCGTTCGCGATCAGGTTATTCTTTTTTCCTATGGGATAGACCTGAATGCGACGTTAAAACGTCTATGCTTATGAAAAAATGCCAAATTAATCACAGGAATACGATTTAAAAATATTTCAATTATAGTCTCATCCACTCATCATAATTAAATACCGATCACTCAAATCGATAAATAACCAGTGGAGTTGCCAAATTGTACGCGTCGTTTGAATTGCGCCTACGTAAAGCACGTTGTGAATATGCTTAGCACTCATAGGAAGTGGGAATTGACATTACGATTAGGGACAACGAATAGGGACAAAACAAAGTAGGGAGCCGCCAACAAGTTTTTAAGGAACTTGTAAACCGTTCACGGATCATAAAAGGCAACCACGAATAAGGGACAACAAAAGGCAACAACGATTGACCCGTGAATGTTACACCGCATTCATATTCCATGAGATTACTAACTCTATATGGTTAAAAACCACAAAAGAAGGATCGGGGATGATGGTACGAAGTGAGTCATGGAGTCACATTAGTTCGTATTGGCCCCTACTTGATTCTTATGGTGAAAAGTATTCTTACGCTCTCAAAGCCATGAAAACAAAAATTCAATTTGCTCCAAACTATTATTATACTAAATTGGTTGAATATTAATGCACACATAATTCTTATTATTAGTGACCACTTGATTAAATAATAAGATTAAAGGAACCTAAACCGGTTGTCCATATTATCTTATTAAGCGTGATTTTTAATTACATATTCCTTTAACATGCAATATGGTGATCATAATAATAATAGAATCAACAATAATATTGGAAGTAATTAAACAATAATAGCGTTAGTCAAATTGAATAATAATCTTAATCATAATATTAGCAATATTAAAATAAAATAATTAATTAATTATTACTCACATTCGGCGCGTTCCTTTAAATCGCTACATCATGAATAAATTGTTAGTAACTTAAATAAAAATAAATCAAATAGAAATTAAATTAAATAAAAAGTATATTTGATTTGGTCAAAACCCTCAGCTAATTATAACTTTCACGCCTTGGTTTAAGGAAGGAACCTCGGGTCAAGTATGGACTCCTTGGAGTGCTTATGGGAAATATTATGGAAGAATTGGGAGGCTAGAAATTAGGTAAAAGATGGAGAAGAGAGTGATTTTTGGTGCCCCCAACTGCAGAAAGGAGGGGGGTATTTATAGAGGAAATGAGTAGGGGATCACACGGAACCCTAGAAAAGATAAAAACCCTTATTTATGGCACCGTGACACGACAAAGGTTGCCGCGACATGGAAAAACGTGCCGTGACACGGTACAGATTGCCGTGACACGATACTAGCTGCCGTGCCACGTCAGATATTGCCGACGCGGCAAATCCAGTTTTTTAAGCGTTATTAAAAGTATGATAACTTTTGATCCGTAACTCAGAATAAGGCTTATAATATATCATTGGAAATATTATCAAGTCTACTTTCCACCCCAATTAAAATAACGTCAAAATCATTTGTAAATTTTGATATATGACCGTTTTAGTGAAAGGGTGTTAGTTTTGGACCAAGTTTAGTGTTTGCCTCATAACTTCTTCGTTTTAAATCAGAATTGGGGTTATGATGTACCGTTGGAAAGCATATTAAAAGGCCTATCCAGCCAAATATTAATTGGATCAAAATTATTTGGCCATGAAATCAGGTTCTCTCGGTTTTGTGATGTGGATACGAAAATGGAAAGAAGTTATAGTGTACGGAAATGGGCTAGGAATTGGATTGGTTTATGAAATGTATAGGATAGAACATGGATTTAAGCACTCCAAATATTAAATACTCAACCCGAACAATAATGGCGGTGAAAGGTTGTTCATCGTCGGGTTTTTTTTTGGGGAGACATTTTTTGGTGTCTACAATTATATATTCCCATTGAAAGCAGGTTCACAGTGGGTTTCACTCCTGATAGGCATGAAAAATATGTTTCAAATGTAGAGAAAATCAGGAATCTCATAATGGCCTCTCTTCCGACTTGTTGGAAAAGTAGATTCAAGTATTATGAGTTGACCTACATGCTAAAATGTCTACGTGCCATCTGTAGTGGTGGCATTGGGGCATTAGGAAGTGGAGGCATCAATGACCAAAATGTCAAGGAAGTTGTTAACTCAATTCCTCAAATATATTACTCCTGGACTAACAGTGTAAGGTTTGAGACCCTTATTGAGATGGATATCTTAGGGAAACTGTTTGATGATTACTCTACGCATGACATTATTCTGTTTTCAGTTCATGATTGATTTGATCTCATCAAGCTAATTAATAATGATGAAGGCTCGACAGTGACGCTTGTCGATTGATTGATCAACCATACAGAGGAGTACTTGAAAAAGGAAGGAAGCCAATGCTTCTATTGCGGTAGGTGGTCTTGCCACTTACCAGGTTGTCCCGAAAACACACTTGTGAAAACAGAAGGTAAGGAGTTACATAATGTTTTTGTTGTAGAAATTAACCTTATTTCTTTTTCCATATGGGTATTTGATATCGGTTCTGGTGCTCACATTGTTAATCAAATGCAGGGTTTAAAGAGTGAGTAAAAGACTAGCAAAAGGGGAGATGATGCTTCAAGTAGGAAATGGAGCAATTGTTGTTGCACTTGCTATTGGAAGCTAAGAACTCAAGCTCCCATCTGGACTCGTTTTAGTGCTTAATAAATATTATTATGTTCCTGTGATTACTAAAAACATTATCTCAGTTCCTATTTTAGAAACTGAAGGTTATTCTTTTGAAATTAAAGACAATTGTTTTTTTATTTCAAGGGAAAATATGTTATATGCTAGTGCTAATTTGGTTTATGATTTATATGTATTAGATTATACGACCGATATTTACAACATAGATCACAAAAAGCAAAGAGCAGATGGTTCAAACCCAACATACCTATGGCATTGTAGGCTAGGTCATATTAACCAATCGTGCATCCAGAAATTACATAAGGATGGACTCCTTTCAACCTTTGACTACGAATCATTTGAAAATTGTGAGTCATGCTTGTTGAATAAAATGACCAAGTCACCTTTTACAAGATTATGTGAAAGAGCTAGTGACTTTTTACGACTCATACACATAGATGTGTGAGAACCAATGAGTTCAAAAGTTAGGGGTGGATTTAGTTAATTCATTACTTTCACTGATGATTTAAGTAGAGTTATTTATATTCACTTAATGAAGCAAAATTCCGAAGCATTTTAAAAGTTCAAAGAATTCCAAAATGAGGTACAAAATCAACTTGGAAAAACAATTAAATCACTACGATCCGATTATGGTGGTGAATATTTAACCTAGAATTTGATGATCATCTGAGGGATTGTGGAATACTTTCATACTTAACTGCTCCAGGAACACCACAGTTAAATGATGTGTCGGAAAGGAGGAATCGAACCTTACTAGACATGGTTCGATCCATGATGAGCTTTACTATTCTTCACATATCATTCTAGGGATATGCATTAGAAGCAGTTGCAAAAGTACTAAACCGAAGTCGTCCAAAGCGGTTGAAAAGACTCCGTATGATATTTGGAATGGAAGAGCTCCAAAGGTGTCTTTTATCAAGATTTGGGGATGTGAACCCTATGTAAAACGTTTACAAGGAGATAAACTAGGCCATAAATCAGACAAATGTTTCTTTGTGGGTTATCACAAAGAAACAAAAGGGTATTACTTCATTCTACAATCGCGCAGATAGCAAAGTGTCGGAGCAAGCTAATTCGACTAGCGAGACTCCTATCGTCCCACTTGAATCTATTTTTTTACGAAAATCTTCAAAGATTTGAAGATATTATTTCTATTGTTGCTCCTACCTCCACATAGTTCTGCTAGAATCAGAAACAAATAGTTTGTTGATGTTCTGTTAAATGAGGATTCCGAAATCTTCTTATTAGAAAATGTTGAACCTATAACCTACAAGCAAGCTTTTGCGAGCCCCAACTCAGAGAAATGGCTTGTGGCCATGAAGTTTGAAATGAAATCGATGTCTGAAAATGCTTTGTGGCCCCTGGTAGACTTGCCTAATGGGTAAAACCTATTTATAGCAAGTGGGTCTACAAGATTAAGACATATTAAGATGGAAATGCCTACATCTATAAAGCAAGACTTGTCGCAAAAGGGTAGAGAAAAATTTATGGTATTGATTATGATGAAACCTTTTCCCCAGTAGCTATGCATAAATCCATTCACATTCTTCTAGCAATTGCTGCATTTTTCGATTAAGAAATTTGGCAGATGGATGTCAAAACCGCCTTCTAGAATGGGTTCTTGACGGAGGAAGTGTATATGACACAATCTGAGGGTTTTGAAGATCTAGAAAATCCTGGAAGATTATGAAAACTTCATAAATCCATTTATGGATTGAAGCAAACATCAAGGAGTTGGAACCTAACAATTTGGTTTTCTCAAAAGCGAAAATGAACCTTGTGTATACAAGAAGTCTTGTGGGAGCAGCTTAGTTTTCTTAGTCATGTATGTAGATGACATACTACTCAGGGGGAATGACATGCCAATGCTTGAGTCAGTTAAGGAATGGTTGAAGAGTTGTTTCTCCATAAAAGACTTAGGTGACGCTAGGTTCATTTTAGGAATCAAGATCCATCGAGACAGGCCTCGAAGGATTATTGGACTATGTCAAGAGACTTATATTGATAAGGTTCTTGATAGGTTTGAGATGAAAATCTCCAAGAGAGGATTTCACCTCATGTATCATGGCATTACACTCAGTAAATTTCAGTGCCCTCAAAAGCAAGAACACTAATATAAAAATGTGAAAACATACCACCAATTAAATACCCGTTATTTAATTAACGGGTCTGTTTAATGTAAGAGATCCAATGTTAAAAATAACGGGTCTCCTATATGAATTGGGGCCAACAATTAAATAGATAAGAGATACAAGGGAGCTATTATGATACTTAACGGGTCTCTTATATGTACCTAGAGTCCACAAATTTGATGGGTTTACAAAAAAGGGTCTCTTCCTTCGTTCATAGCCTCAAGATCTGCAATATTGGCACTCTCTCTATATATGAAAGTCTATCTCCTAAAAACCCTAGCTCCAACCCCAAAACTAAAATCATCCTCCTCTTTGTTGATCCGCCGACTCTCTTCTACAACTTATCTCTATTGAAGCTTTGTAGATTTCCTAAAAATGATAGATACACTCATTTCTTCGAGGGAACTCACCGTTAAGGTATTTTGTTTTCTCTCTCCTCTTTGATTTTTATTTTGCCACTTATATTGTGTGTTATTGGATTTTAAATTGATTTGAGTGTGTAGATCCTGTTGAAAATTTGAAATTCAATAGGAAATTAATGCTGTAATTTATCATATTTTGGTACTAAATTGCTAAATCAATGTTTTGAATACTTTAAACGAATTAATCTAGTTGCATGTTTCATTTGATTTGTGGGTTTCCAAGTCGTTTGACTGTTTGCGTCTCTACTTTTTTTTTCCGTTCGGTTTTATTTTATAATTCTACAATATCAACGATTTATTAATTTGTATACTATACTTGATTTCTACTAATTATTCAATAATTTTGATGCTATGAATAGAGCTATCCATTTGACATTATTTTAAGTCTCTAATTCATTTGTTAAAATTATTTATGTAATAGTGGGAATTTGGGGAAATGGTTCCTCAAAGATTTAATTAGTGTTGTAAGATTGTTTTGGTTATACATTTTGTTGTTGGTTTTTTTTTTGGTTTTTTTTGGGTGATTTGGTGGTATTTGTTCGTGTAAAATTTGATGACTCCTTTTCTTTCCGCCAAACTTTTGATTATGCATGCATATGCTTCAATCTCTAAGTAGAGATATAATTATTTATATATGTTACTAGGCTTATTGTTAAGGAACTATTGTGCAGAAATGCATCAGTGGGTGATTATTGATTTTTCTATGAAGTTACAGATTAGATGGAGTAATATTAAAAGACACAAACAGAGGAAGCATTGTGCCTATCAGTACAAGTAACTGTTAAAGGTTCTTTTAACATTCTAATCAACAATAGTTTGATTTGTAATTGTATTAGTTGTATATTTGTATTTGTTTTATATATGTAATATATCTATATATTATATTAAAAGACAAGCGCCTCAATGTGAGGATGACAAATGACACTAAAAACTGTTTACATATTCAAGCATAGTTATTTTTGTTAAATTTCAAACAATAAAAACAAGTTTCTATACATGCATATTATTTTCATGATTACCTGACATAAATATTGATTTAATTTTTTTTATAATAAATATATACTTTCCAATATTACAGATAATCCATAAAGACTTGTCAATCTTTATTTATAGTCATCTATATTACATTAAAAGACAAGCGCCTCAATATGAGGACGACAAATGTCACTCTCTCATTGGCTTATCTTAAGTATTAAATATATCTATACAAAAACTGTTTACATATTCAAGCATAGTTATTTTTGTTAAACTTCAAACAATAAAAGTAAGTTTCTATACATGCATAAGATTTTCATGATTTCCTAACATAAATATTGATTTAGTTTTTTTATAATAAATATATACTTTCCAATACTATAGATAATCCATAAAGTATTTCCATTCTTTATTTATAGTCAAGTTAAAGAATAATAACTAATTTGAAGCAATATGATTAAAGTGACATAATTAAGGAAACAAATATTTCGTATTTTGAAAGGCTAATTTTTTTTTATATGGAAATTAAATAAAATCGATAAGAATTTAGTTTGACGTCAATTATGAAATCAATACAAACATTTAAAAAAAAACAGATGTACAATAAAATATCATGCACCTATTATAAAAGCTACCATGTAATGAATGAAAGTTATTTATGCTTTATTGATAAAAGTTACCCAAAATAGTCTTCAAGTTATCCTAAATTCAATTCAAGTAATCGGATGAATACAAAAGTTTTTGATAAAGATACAAAATAGTGTAAAAATTACTTTTATTGTTTGTTGTACTCCTTGACAAATACTGAATGCTGAGCCGAAATGTTGTCTTGGAAAAAAATACATAATCTTGAACATAAATTTAATTTTAATCGGCCTTTCATTCTCTATACAACGTCTTTTACAATGACCTTTTGTTTTACTTGCATTAAAAAAAAAAAAAAAAAAAACTGAACCAATAACCAATCAAAACAAGAAGAATAAAAGTTAAATTAAATTAGACATTTGACGGAAAAGGGATAGATATAAAATGTATTATAACTATTACAAGTGTTTTAAATTGTAATATTCGTATTAACAATGCTATTACTTATGAATTTTTTTTAGAAAAAACTAACATTTTGATTTAAAAATCGTGCATTGCTCATGTACTATACTAGATATACAACAATCATGTGCAATAATTTATGTTGTTTTATACATAATAATACTTTTAACTATAATAGTATGTATATATAATATAATATTTTTTATAATATAAAACAGTATATGTATATAATATAATATTTTATAACACGTGTCCTCCATACAAAGTGTTTGGTTGTTGGTGTAGTGGTGAGCTACACTTGATAGGGAGGACCTGTGTTCGCTCCCCTTCAATAACAATCGGAAGGGGAGTGGAACCTAATAGCTTAGAACAGATCCTCAAATCTGGATTAGCCCAAATGGTGAACCGGATAGAACACCCAAAACTCAATGCATATATGACGGGAATTAACATATCCTTTATCTATCTTATGCAAAACTCCAAAGTCTAATTTTTTTTTTTAAAATATAATAATAACATTTGTAAATTTTTGTTAATATGAAAGATATAAACCTATCAAAATGTATATATAGTTAAATTGTTTAATAACTTATATCGAATGCGTAGTTTTATTAAAATTATTTGTAAGTAATCATTAAATGTGTTGGATGTTGTGTAGCTATGCAATGTCCAAAACTTTAGTTCAGCGACTTTGATTTAGTGATTGTACGTTAAAAAGATATTGACTTTGATCTTGAAACCTAATACCCTAATAAATTCTAAATAGAAAAACTAAAACAAAAGGAAATGAAAATAGTAAATGGCTTTAAATATTGAAATAAACGTAACCTTTTAATAGCGAATTCAAGAGACAATTTTAAGGCTTTTAAAATTAAATGGGGGAAAATATATGTAAAAAGAATATTTTTAGATATATAAATGTCCATGCACTATTATAAGAGTTTTGTTAACCATTTTATAATTAAGGTAGGGATAAATCTTAGTAATATATACTCTGTATATTTTATTTATATAAAATTATCAGTATCCATACCTATACACGAAGTATTTGTGTTGTATACTATATTTAATCAGCGGTTGGTTATATATATGACTATTATATAATATATAGTTTTTGGCACAATGCTTAACTTAGGAAAATATATGTTCTGCTAGGTCAAATATAAGGTTATTATTGTGTCTATAGATTTAATGAGTGCGACGGGTAAATAAAACATGTATATATTAGATTGATTGTAGCTACTGATGCGAATGGTATGATAAGAAAATTTTAGTTTTTTCTCAACGGGAGATATAAATAAATAGTCCACTTCTTATATAGCTATGTGGAGTATTATTCAATTATTTTTCAATTAATAAAATAACATTATAAAAAATTTAAAAGAAATTCAAATAACATAAAATACTATTCAAATAACGTTTCTTTAATTTTTTTTATTGACCATTAGTAACCAAGTCCTTTAATAGTAAATGAATTACCTTTGTTTTTATTTTTATTTTTCCTACGGGTTTAATAGTTTGATTTATAATCCGTGCATCGCACGGGCACTATGCTAGTAGACAATAGTTTGATTTGTAATTGTATTAGTTGTATATATGTAATAGTTGTAATTTTGTATTTGTTGTACTTTCATTTGGTGATCTTTGTTTTGCCGAATATAAGTATAATTTTATTGTATAAATGCTCATCAATTATGGAAATTGTAATTAATTCTAATATTTTTGAATTTATTTTATGAATTTATATTTATTCATGCTTGTTACTTTTGTCCAAATTAGATGCTATATTTTTTTTTTAAAAAAAAAAACAAGAAAAGAGACCACCTATCTTCAACAAGGGGTCTGTAATTATTTAAGAAACAAACCACATTTCTTTAATGCAAGGTATGTTTAAGTGTTTAACTAAGTAAACAGATCCCAATTCCCTTATGACGGGTCTGTTCCCCTATTGAATTATTAGTCAAATCACTATTATAACAGACCCCATTTTTTTTTATATGGGTCTCTTATTTCTTAAAAATAGACCCCCCCATAAAATGGAGTCTTTTTATCAAATAGACCCTGAGCTAGAGACCCGTCCAAAGGGGCTTTCTAAGGCATATTAACACGGGTTTCTTTGCCTATTTTTATAGTAGTGGAAGAGATGAGACGTATGACTAGTATACATTATGCTTCTACAATAGGGTCTATTATGTATGCCATGTTATGTACACGGGTTTCTTTCATATGCTCTTAGCATGTGTACAAGATTTTAGGCAAATCCAGGTGAAGCAAACTAGACAGCTGCCAAGAACATCCTTAAATACTCGAGAAGGACTAAAGGAATGTTTCTAATACATGGTGGCGAGAATGAGTTGGTTGCCACATCCTATAAGGATGCGAGTTTCCAAACAGACAATGATGATTTCAAATCCCAATCAGGGTACATTTTATGTCTAAATGGAGGAACAGTGAGTTGGAAGGGATCGAAGCAAAGCATTGTCGTAGACTCTACAACGGAATCAGAGTATTTGGCTGTTGTTGAAGCAGCTAAGGAAGCAGTTTGGATAAAGAAGTTCCTTACAGAGATGGACATTGTACCAAGTGCTCAAGAAGGAATTAAGTTATATTGTGAAAACAATGGCGCCAGTGCTCAATAAAAGGAGCCAAGGTCACACTTCAAGTCCAATCATATAGAGAGAAATTATCACCTCATTCATTAGATCGTTGGCAGACAAGATGTCAAGATGTGTAAAGTTTAAACAAATGACAACATTCCAGGTCTGCTTACTGAACCCCTTCCATTGCCTAAGAATGAGACTCGTATTAGAGCAACTAAATTGAATCAAGTGATGTAATTTAAGTTGTATTTTTTTTTGAGAAAAAACTTATTACATATGTAATACACTCATTTTCTGAATTATGATTAATCATATATTTATTATTTCTCTTATTTAATTATGGTTTTGATGTTAAATAAAATGTCTGAAATAATTATAGATTGATGGCCTCATCAGGTTGATGACCTGGTGAATGAAACCCAACAGGCGAGCTAAATTCATATATAATTTAATTTCCTAGTTCAGAATCATTAAAGTGGACATAAATGGTGTCAATAAATGGACTAGAATGTAAGATTGATTGGATAGTGCAATTTCATGTGTAATAGGGGCATAGTGATGCTCGATCCATCACGTATGCATGATCGAACTATAGACCTACTTAAATGTTCAAGTACAGAGCTTCCGGATATATTAGTGGATTCTTTTGACAAGAGTGGAACACTGATTCCATTCAAGATTGATTTAACAGTGATACTGTAGGAAATATTTCAAACACCTAACTTTGAGCCCCACCGTGATCATGCATTTAAGCATGGTGGCGTCCAAAGGGAATGAATCTAGAGCATAAGAGTCGCCAACAAGTTTTAGGAACTTGTAAATCGTTTACTGGTGTGAAAGTTACATCTCGTCACGATCAAAGAGATCGCTAACTCCTTAGTGGTCCGGAACTATGACTAGATATTCGAGGATTAAGGTACTAATCTAACCTAAAAGAGATTGAATCCGCCCTACATAGGCCTCTACTTTATTTTTCTCATATTCAAGTGCGCTTTTCGATCAACAGACAATCATTAAGTTAGCCATAAACTTGTTTAATCTATGTTGGTTGTTTATTAATGCACAAATAAATCTAATATTGGCGATCACTTGAATTAAAATCATATTAGTCTAATTTAAATTATTAATTATCTTAATAGACATGATTTCAAGTACAAATTCCCTTTAAACCTGCAAAAAAGCCATGATCAAGCAATAATAATAATATCAAGCAACATTATAATATTATTGACATAACAAATCATCATCATCATAATATTCTCATCAAAGCTTAATAATAATATTAGTAAGATCATAGGCATGATACTAACATGATTCATTGATTGGTGTCATAAATGACACCCATTTGATGAGCATTTTGGTTGTTTTCACCT